TGTAGATGTATTAATTTGATAGACATTAGTGCATCAATTGCATCTAACCGGGATGTTAGATTTGAGTAATAGATTGTACTAATTGAGTTGCGCTAACATTTGATCGACAGATCTTACAGTAATATTATAGCGCTAATTCGTTTTGCTTTCATTTAATTTTAATTTATAATTCGCACCTTTGGATGATAAATTTACATGATAGATGATAAAGTTACGTTTGCATAGTGATAACTTTTTAGGAGAGAGGTGTAAAGATTCTATGAACTTCTTTCTTTTTTGTATCAATGGCGTACTCTAATCGTAGTTTTGAACTTAGCCACGCTGATCACGCCACAAGTAGCCGCCATTCTGAACTGTGCATAGGATATTGGTGAAAAGATTTGCTAGTCGGTGTAAGGTACTTACTCGCCGGTTGTCACCCAAGGTGCGTTCGACGTACTAGAAATACAAAAGAAAATACTATTCGTAGGTCATCGCAGAGACGCTCCTTTCTATTTCTTTCTATTCTACGAACGAATGTATAACTTTACTATGCAACATTTATTATGCATAAATAAAATTAAATGAAATATTTTTTTGTTATAAAAAAATAGTTATAAAATTTCACATAATAGGCAAATTTGTTTCATATAGTACGTATAAAAGCACTTTTGAGGTATAATCACCTGTGGCTTTATTTTACCAAGGGTACGATTCAGTAGCAAAAATAAATTTTATAGACACCACACTTTCATAAGTAAGAAGTTTAAACCTTTAAAGAAAGTTCAACGAAAACAAACCTTGTGTTCTATGCCCCGTAAAAATGTGACGGCCGTCAGTATAGTTGCACAAGAGACCAAATCATTTTGCGTATATAATCCGCTATGGAACATGTAAACAAACCATGTCAATGGAGGGGATTTTCTCAAGTATATTCGCAGTGGTGAGGATGTTCACATACTTATGATCTGCGTGTTGACATATTCAATTATAATATGAATGCACTAAAGCATAAGCTCACGGACGTTTTATTGCAAATTCTTACCTCTAGTGACCGTACCAGTACGAAATAATTGGCGAAGGCTCAATAGTTAACATCTCAAATATGATAGATAGAAACAAGTTTATGCAAATTTTTCTTCGTGTTATCGTATCGATGACTATTGTGGCCCAGAACTCAGCCACGCGGGCCGCGTCACTAGTGCAGATGTTATGGCACGCAGGGCACAATGTGAGGTGGATCATCGCTTGAATCGCACCACACAAAAAATCCAGGGGCCCTAAAGTCGAAGCACGAAATCCGTAGTTACGACCGTTTTCCCACTATGGATGACCTACACTTTTCCACTATAGAGGACTTGAGTTTCAATCGGGACAAAATACAAAGAATGTATGACAATGTGATTTGACAGTTTCAAACGGGCCCATCTTTTCGTTGTCAGATTTTGAGGCTGTCCCGTAGGTCATCCATAGTGGGAAAACAGTCGTAACTACAGATTTCAGGCTTCGAGAGTAGGGAGCCAGATTAGAATCATTCGAAAATACCCACCTGTGCAGATTGTCCTTACCTAAGTCTGAAGTCTATTTAAAGGCTTCTTATGTGTGCAAATGTGACAAATCCTTTCAACACGATTGCAAGCATGTTCTACCCTTTTAGCTTATGAAGCAATACTACGAAACTTTCGGAAAAATTCTGACCTGGTTTGATACTTGGTTATTATTATTATTTCCTTTGTGGCGGCCATTAGGCTTGTGTCACGGTCAGTTTTATAAAAATTATGATTAAAGATTTTATATTATAAAAATTATGGCAATCATCACCAGTGTCAGTTTTCTAAAAGAATTAATTTCGTTAGTGCTTCCTCTCTATTGCAGTGTTGTACAGGTGACACTCCTTTAATTTTATCGTTCGTCTACATTACGTCAAAGAGGTATTATATCTTTCGATATTACTGAGTTTTCTCAGGAACGTTCATATCTGTTGGACCAAAATATATGAAACTGATAATATGTTTTCGATTTAAGGAAGGTACTTAATAGTTGTTCTTATTGCCTCACAACTTACTACTAATGAATTACCAGATATAAGTTGTTTATTGCGTATAGTTATTTAATTACCTTCACTTTTGTTATTTTGTTTGTTTGTTTGTTTTATTTTGTGGTTTCTTTTTCTTCTTTTTTTTCTTACTAATTATTTCCTATTGTTGTGTGTGCTTCCGGAAAGTCAATAAACGTGTTCTATCTATCTTATCGAAAGCTGTAAATCAGACCCTAAAATATAGCGATATTTTAAATATTTAATATTTTAATTAAAACATGGTTAAAAGCCTTAAGATCCGTATTGACGTCTCTGAATGGGTCTTGGAAATCTTTTTAATACTTCAGTATGTGAAATGTCACATTATTGCTTGGTGGCAGAAATAGGTATGGCAGTATTTCCATAGACGAGTTCTTTCACAAAAAGCTTTAATAACACTAGGTGATGCTCATCATATCTATACGTGAGGTTCTCAAACCACCAATATCTATATTCATAACGTAACTTATAAAATTTCGTAACACAAAGCCTTTGCTTAATAGATGCTTATAACGAAGTAACGGGTGATCAATAAATGCCATTATAATCAGGCTCAAGTTCATCTGATCATCCGGTTGCTTGATTCAGAGGTCATGGCCGTGTGTTGTTTTAAATAATTTTACATTTTTTTTTATATATAGAAAAACTGGAAAGGGTGCGACGATAGCCGTACATACCTACCTAATTTTGCTGGATAAACGAAAATGTAACGACAACTGTCGGAGTAGAGCAGTTTGTTTTAAAATGTGTATTTTAAACATGTACCAATTCAAGTATGTAGGTACTTGTCACTTTGTGATACCAACATAGATTTCATGCTGAATCATTAGAAACCGAGAGAATGTGCGTGTTTAAAAAAAGCACGGTAAATGATACAGAACTTGACCTATATTGTTTATGGTATCGTTATCTACTTTTTTAGTAGCAGTAAAATTCTTTGTGAAAGAGTTCATCCAGGGAAGACTCACCTTATCTATTTCTGCCGCCAAGCAGGCGGTTCCGGTTTTGAAGCGCTTACCCTAGCACTCTTAAGTGCTGGTGAAATTATAGCCACATGGGACTTGTCACCTTACTGGCGCGGTGCAATGTCTCTGAGATCTTTGCGATTTAATGGTCGGAATGGCACTGTAACTGCTATGGACAGGGCAGTTGCTAACCACCAGGCGCACGACTTATTCATCGCGTCCGTCACTTGGAAATATAAAAAGAAAAATCTTTTTCGTGAGTGTTCCTCAAGGATCGATTATAAGGCCTTAATTATATTTTGTACTAAACAAAGTACCGGTCATCACAAAATCTTCGTTGAGCGTTTTCGTACCAAGGCTACTTAAAAGTTATTTTTCTTATTGTTTTCAAATGATGTTAATAATTGAAAATAGATTGTTTCAAACATTTAAGGGTTTTTCAATGTCAGATTGCTATCATGGCGGAACTAATATTTCCCCATCGGAAAACAAAAGAACTTGATGTAGTATTGAAACAAGATTTGCGAAACTATTTTTTTTTCTATGTATACGAACTTCTAAGGATTCATATGGCAACGAAGCATTTCTTCACCATAGTGAATGTACCAAGCTTACTTAGAAACCGACCCAGGAAACCAAAAATTTTTTGGTCTGTCACCAAAAAAATCCCCATTTTTTGTAGATTAACTTCACGTTATTTAGCTACCTATTTAGTAAAAACACAGAGAAAAACAGTAAATATGAGATTCATATTCAGATAAATCCAATACATCGTGTCTTAGTCACATCAAAAGTACAGTCACAGCCATCTTAAAAGTCATCTTTCATTATGATAACAGATTTTTACGAAAGAACACGAACTATACGAAACAAATTATGTATTTTGACTAATTTCGTTCGTAGAATTTTTAAAGCCAATCCTACGAGATCCTGAAATATTATCAGCCAATCACATTACTGGACGAACTAAATCTTTTTTTAATATTTTCTTTTATTTAATTCAAAACCAAGAATAATAAATAATACACTTTCACTTCTCATGCTCATATTCACAATGCTTCACATAGAAGGATTTAAGTAGTTTTTTAAGCCCTTGGTCCTAAAGTTTTATTACATTTTAAAACCTGATTTTTTAAACAGCAAATTATTAAATGTCATTAGAATCGCCTGCCAGATAGAAGGATTTTTTTGTGTTCTATCAGTTGAGTCATTTGACTGAGAATAAATAATATCATGGTAGTAAAATATTAATTACCGGCAATATTAGAATCGCTGCTTGACAAAACATTTTAAATAACTTTAAATTTGTGTTTTGCATGGTTACAAAAGGAAACTACAATGCTCTGAAGGCAGTCCGTTGTGTATTTCATTTCAATATGTGCAAAAACAACGTGTTCCATCCAGTTGTGAACCTAGTTAACAGTCAATAAATCCCACTACATTTTTTTAACAATCCACTGTTTCTAAGATAGCTAAGATTAGCTGCGATTATCGACTAGTTAAATGAGTGGAATGATGAATGGTATATCTTAATGCCAATGCCACAGCCTTCAAATTGTTTAAGAGCAACATTGTTATTTTCAAATCTTACATAGCAATTTATTTTTCTATGCCATCTACGTTGCATATTTTGCCATTGTCAAAGTTTAGTGTTTATTGTTTCGAGAATCAAATCTTTATAGTCCATTAACGATTTGTGTGAGAGCAGCAACGTCGGCGATTTGAGTCACATCTTTCTTATTTTGCCTGGATTTAAAAACAAAGCTGGAAAAAGCGTTACAGTAGCTTTTTTTTTCAAGTCACTGAAACCCAATTTGTGAAAAACCAAGAAACAAGAAAGAAAATCTTTTGGGAACTATATCATATTGCACTTATTTTGGTAATGATTGCAGTTGATGTATCAACATTGTAGGTGTTATGCGAAACTTTGAAATATAATGAGTTTATATTTAATAAAACAAACAATATTTTGTAATTTGGTATAATTAGCAATAGTAATGCAAATGAAATAATAAATTTCTCCACCACATTATGAATAATCGATATTGCTCTACGCTTTTTGTTAGCGCGTTTACATTTGGAAGTAATAATGTTTAAATATAATAAAGAAGACTGAACAAGTTTCAGTTTTGATTAAAAACGCTTTCCGGAATACCAAACGCTTTGGAGAATTCATGAAGTTCGCAGCAGTAAGTATAGGTGCTGGAAGGCACGTCTGCGGGGCATGTTCCCTTACAGCGTACGTCACTCGACGTCGCAAAAGCGTCGTTTATGTAAACGATGACCAGCGCCAGCTCCTCTGACTTGAGAACCTGTTTATAAGGAAATATTATTTTTAGTTCATTTAGCTAAAGTCTACGGTTGTTCAACAAACGTAAAATGTTTCAATAAGATTCAATAGGAATCATGACCAAATTTACCTTCCACAAATATCGTGGCTTATCCTGTATATTGGGTGACTTTTCACCGACTCTCGCTGTGTATTCACTGGCTCCTGTCCATACTCTTATGGTATTAAGCTCTAACAAAATCTCACGTACTGTCTTTTCTACTGCATCCCAGGTTAACTACAAAAAGACAAGAAATTTAACATTAATAATATATGCGTATAGGTGTCATCATACGCCATTGTAGCAAACCGTCCTTTACATCTATAACTTTAATTTAACTGCAAATTTTCACTTACGGTAAAATTAAAATAAAATTGTAAATAAAGTAGAGCATGTTGCTGATTATGCAATGCTAAGAAAAGCAAAAACTTCTGCTTGCGTCACTAAGAAAAATAAAATACCTTTTACTTTACAAACAAATAATCATTTTACCTGGTCAGGACCACATGCACGCCAAAGAGGAACAGAATTCAGTCGAATATAATCAGTTGCTGCTTGAGGTGGCCCGTACTTGACGTCTTGAGCATTTAATAACTGAGCCCTAGCAAAACAACAGGTCGCATCTCCTGTACAGTTGTAATATCCATCATCAGCAGCCAAAGTATATTTTTTCCAAGTACGATCTGTTAACGCAGGCAAATTAATTGGCGTCGACATATCTGTGCGTGTGTACAGCGCATTCTCATTGATTCTATCATAACATACTTCATACGCTTCAACAAAATTATCATTTCCGAAACCAACTTTAATCAACTCTGTGTTCTTTTGTAAGCATTTGTCACCCGTAGATTGAAAAGTAGGTAGCACTGGATATTCGCAGACAAGGTCATCAAACTTGTAGGTTTTATCTCCTACAGTAAACTTATCTTCACGGTCGCAGAATGCTACAATTTCATGTTGTCCAGGGAAGTTCTTAAAATTGTTTTGTCGTTCAGCTTGACTGTTACAAGATAACTTCATTTCGTAATTGGTGTGTAATATAAAATAGTTTCGCACAGCGTCAAATTCGGGCCACATCGAATCCTTATCGAATATAACAGGCATATTTTCGTTTGGTGAATCTCTTCTTAATAAACAATCTGAAATAAAATTGTTCATTATGCATATCCATCGATGTATTGCATCGCTAATGTAAAATATTTTCAAGATATAATGATCTGACGTACCACTGGAATAAACGGAGAAACTTTTTTGCACTTCGCCGTGTTTGTTGGAGATTTTACACGTGTAGTTGCCCCATCCGATAATATCCTGGACTTGTGACATTGTTTTTAAGGCTTCTCCGTTATATGTCCACTTAACCTAAAAAATAAGGCTTCCGTTAAATTTTAATCGTATATTAAATGCTGCAACATACAACTACAAAATACAGTGCAGCTAATAATAATAATAATAATAACGCACAGACAAGGTAAATCCTGTGTCGTGGGTACTATGGATACACACATAGATAACCACAAATTACACCCAAACTCACGAGAGAAATAAATGTAGGCCATACAAACATTTCTCCCGGCCCGGGAATCGAACCTGGGACCTCTTCGGTTCAGCCACGGAGCCAGTTGATAACAATAATGAAACACAATATAAAAAATGACATTTACCTTTACTGTTCTCACTTCTGGTTTCATTCTTACTTCACATCGTAGCTGTTGATAGTCTCCATCCCAATTTATTTTAGTGCTTACTTTATCCAGAAATACAGGAGGATAGCCCACGTCCACTACGTAAGTTTGGGCTGTAACGTTATCCAGAGTACTTACACGGCAAGTATAATTACCATCATCATAGAAAGTTGCGTCCTTTATTGTAAATGTTCTTGATTCATTTACGGGGATATTTTCCTGTTTAAAGATTAAGTAGATATTAAACCATTTAAGTATAGCTTTATGCCATACAGTTATGTTCACAAATAAGAACAAAATTCTACCTTATACCAAAAGATTCTTTCCTGTGTATTGTTGCCACATTCAAGTTGTTTTGAATCTCCTTTTAGAATGTATATGTATTTTTCATCACCACGATCTTCATCAAATTCAATAATTGCTAAAATGAAGATGATATTTAAATTAAACTGTAGAGTTTCGCAAGTTTGAGATATTACATTAGTATTAAACCAATACACTATTTAGTACTTACGTGTTATGTATGTTTCAACTGTAATGCGATCTGTTCCGAATTTATTTGTAGCTACGCAAGTATAGTAGTCGTTATCACTTTTTAATGGATTCTTAATAATGAGGTTCCCATCAACAATAATATATTTTTCACCTTAAATTAGAAAAGGATAATGTTGAAGGCAAAAAAATCTTATGACCATATTTTATGTGCAACCACGGCTAGCGAAAAAAGGACAAAGGTCGAAAAATCGAGAGGTCCGAGGCAAAACTCATTAATAATATGAATTTTTGCGAAATGAGTTACATGTTTTGTAAATAAATCATTTATGTGTTACACTCATAAATCTGTTTATTGGATTCCACCATAGAAAAAAAGCATGAAAAGAATTACGTGAATTTCATACTCTTATTGTGTTTTGCCCCAAACCTCTCGAAATATTTTTACACTTTTTATATAGCATTTAGCAACTATTTACCATCAGGCTTGATCGTATTTCCGCCTCTAGTCCAGACAATGCTAGGTTTCGGATACCCCGTAACATTACATAGCATTTTGAGAGCAGCGTCACCTTCAACAGCAGTTTGCACTGGCTTATCTTTATGTATTTTCGGTGGTGCTAAACAAAAACAGACGATCACTTGACACAACGCATTAATGAACTTCAAAGTATCGAAATTGAAATTCGACATTATGTATTTATTATGTTTAAAGAGCAGGGTCAATGCATGCTGGGCGTTTTGGCACGTTCTTGTCGTAAGTTATTCAATATAAATGTAAAATGTAAAATCTGTGGCCTAGCCTTAGAGAAATGAGAATGCAGAAGGCTCGGTCTACAAGATTTATTGAAAGAGATGATAAAAGTGGAAAAGAAAGGCTGTAGCAATAATCAAATGACATAATAAAGGTACAATTATTATCAAGCACTCCCCATAAAACTAAATAATATACAATACTCGCCCCAAAGAGGGCCTATATAACAATATATTTTTTTAAATAATCGACGTGTAGTTTAACGGTAAGGAAATAAAGGTGATTTGTAAATTATGTGCAACATGCTCTCGTTTTAAGAATTTTGATGGAAGTGACGACAGATAGAACAAATGTAAGAATAGTGAAGGAAAATGGAAGAGAGAGCGACTCAAAATTTTAAAAATAAGTGGCCAAAAACCAGAAAAGAGGATGATAAAAAGGTGGAATGACGATGAAAGAGATCGGCATCATCACAAATACAAGAGTGGTTACACACGGTGACTTTTAGCAGCGATGCAAACGCGTGTTCTTGAAAAATGCGATTGTATTGCTACACTTGTGATTTGTGGGCGATTGCGATTGCAATGCAGGCGCGCGCTTGCATCGCTTAAGATCGCGCGCGTGTTTATAGGTAGACCGTTAAAGACTGCATCGCGTTTGTATAGGTGCTAAATCGCCGTGTGTAACCGCTTTAATATGCTGTTGACTGTTCAATGTTCATGTGCCATTGTAGGTCGTTATGGTCAATACTGTACTTGTACAAGTATATGCGTGGTTCGTATACGTATGTGTACATATATGTATACGTATTCTATAATGTTTAAATAACCTAACTTTCATACCTTCAACGAATAGTTCAATGACTTGTTCAGCTTTTCCGATGCCGTTGTCAGCAATGCACTTGTAGTTGCCCGCATCATGAAGGCTTGCTTTCTGAATTGTAATATGTTCACCGATTTCTGGTCGTTTTATGAAAGTTTCTGAACCTGCCTTCTTGAATTCCCAGGACATCAACGATTTTGGATAACTTTTCATAATCCTAGAAGACAAAAGTAAAGTATGAGTTCAAATGATAGTAACTACTTCAAAGCCAATGGACTTGATGCCAGCATGTATGTAACAGACTTTAGTCAGGATGAAAGAGAAATATTACAAAATTATTATGTCCATCTCCGTTTATCACACTGTGCATCGTGTAACTGAATAAAAATGAATTTAATATCTAGGTCATGATTTCATATAATAAATAATAAATATAATATAAATTCATATAATAAATAACCTCACCTGCAACTTAAAGTCGCGGATGCTTTTTCTTTCACTGTTACATCATTCCCTTTTTCAACGACAGGTTTTACTGTAACAAAGTTAGGTGGTGTGTTACAATATAAAGCAAACAAATATTTGCTTAATAGCAATAAAAAGATATTAAACTCGTCCAAAAAAGTATGTAAGATCATACTTTGTATTACAATCTATTAAACAGTAAAAAATCAAACAAAAGTTTCGACACCGTTATACTTGGCTTTAAAGTTTTCAATGTAAACATTAATAAAGGTTACAATGTGTGTGTTGTTAATGTCTTTTGTTACTTATTTTGTAATATATAATCTATCTATTTCCTGCGTTCTGACGATCGCGACCTAACTGTGTGCAAATTGGGCACTGGATGTTTAAATAACCTAACTTTCATACCTTCAACTAATAGTTCAATGACTTGTTCAGCTTTTCCGATGCCGTTGTCAGCAATGCACTTGTAGTTGCCCGCATCATGAAGGCTTGCTTTCTGAATTGTAATATGTTCACCGATTTCTGGTAGTTTTATGAAAATTTCTGAACCTGCCTTCTTGAATTCCCATGACATCGACGCTTTTGGATAACTCTTCATAATCCTAAAAGACAAAAGTAAAGTATGACCTCTAATAATAGTAAGTACTTAAAAGTCAATGGACTTGATGACAGCATGTATGAAACAGTGTCTAGTCAGAAAGAAAGAAAAATATCGATACCACACTTTCTCAAACTCGTATCTTTTAACGAGTGGTAGTTCAGGAGATGTCAAAAGTTTACATTTATTTTACATTTCTTATCAAGAGTGTTAATTTGTATGCTTAGAATAATAACGTCTATACATTATTATTCTAAGCATACAAATTAACACTTTATAGAATGATAGTTTCATATCAAACGAACTGTCACGAGTGAGGCAAAAACCAAATTCATGTAGGCGTAAGCAACTTGTATCTACGCACGTCGGCACGCACACAAATATACAAATAACGATGCCATAGAATAACATTTCCCTCAAAAGTGTAGTATAAGTAGTATCTATTTTATGTTTGTCTGACGTATTTTTACACTCATTTACCGCACATTTCGTCATTTTTAGCTAAAATTCTGGAGCTGTTCGCGGTGCAAGTTGACCTTGAGCATTGAAGGCCCGCCCCCTCGTGTAGGCCCATTGGGAGCTCTTCAATTTGCCTCACTTAGCGTGTGCGGACTAGGTTTCTATGCGTTATTATTCTAGGTTTGTATGCATTACTTTAAGAATAGGTAAAAGCCAGTGTGTGTATATGAAGGAAATGTGATGTGAAAGCAGCCTGCAAAATTTGTATATACATCGTGTAACTGAATAAAAATTAATTAAATATCCAGGCTATGATTTCATAGAATAATCTCACCTGCAACTCAAAGTCGCGGACGCATGTTCTTTCACTGTCACATCATTCCCTTTTTCTATGACAGGTTTTACTGAAACAAAGCCATAGGTGATGTGTTAAAACAAAAAATATTTGCATACCTAATTACAATATAAAGATATTAAACTCGTCCGAAGAAGTATGAATATCTTACTTTCCCTAAAAAATAAAACTTTCAACATTATTATACTTGGATCTAAAGTTTTTAACGTAAACATTAATAAAGGTTACAATGTGTGTGTGTGTGTGTGCGCGCGTTGTTAATATCTTTTGTTGTTTATTCTGTAACATCTAATCTGTCTATTTTCTGCAATCTGACGATCTCGGCCTAACGGTATGCAGCTTGGGCGCTGGATGTTTAAATGACGTAACTTTCGTACCTTCAACGAACAGTTCAATGACTTGTTCAGCTTTTCCGATGCCGTTGTCAGCAATGCACTTGTAGTTGCCCGCATCATGAAGGCTTGCTTTCTGAATTGTGATATGTTCACCGATTTCTGGTCGTTTTATGAAAGTTTCTGAACCTGCCTTCTTGAATTCCCATGACATCAACGCTTTTGGATAACTCTTCATAATCCTAAAAGACAAAACCAAAGTATGAGCTCAAATGATATTAACTACTTAAAAGCCAATGCACTTGATGCCAGCATGTACATAACAGAGTCTAGGTCAGAAAGAAAGAAAAATATACAAAGGTATTATGTCCACATCCTTCTATCACAATGTGCATCGTATAACTGAAAAAAAAATAATTAAATATCTAGGTCATAATTTCATACAATAACCTCACCTGCAACCCAAAGTCGCAGACGCATTTTCTTTCACTGTCACGTCATTCCCTTTTTCTATGACAGGTTTTACTGAAACAAAGTCACAAGTGATGTGTTACAATATAAAGCAAACAAATATTTGCTTAATAACAATAGAAAGATATATAACTCGTCCGAAGAAGTCTGTGATATCTTACTTTCTTTTACAATGTACTAAACAGTAAAAAATCAAAGAAGACTTTCAACACTATTATACTTGGATTTAAAGTTTTCAATATAACCCTTAATAAAGGTTCCAATGCGTGTATTTGTTGTTAATATCTTTTGTTATTTATTCTGTAATATCTAATTTATCTATATCCTGCGTTCTAATAATTTTTGACGAATATTTTTTTCTAGTGAGAAGCCTGCTACCTAGGAACTGAACGTCCTCGACATTCACGTGATAATGAAGTAAATTTTAATGAGCATTTTGTTTGATTTCAACACGTGTGCTTGGATGTTAATATAAAATGTAACGAAAAGGAAACGTATATTCGCTGTAATGTTTTAGAAAGAACATTTACGTTAGATTTCCAAAAGAGAGAACAAAGAGGTTTTAATTTGGAAGCAATACCTTCAACTACAACGTTTATAGATCGCGATACGCTTTTGATTTCATTCTTGACTATACATGTGTAGTTTCCAGCTTTTTCAAGATCGATGTTTTTAAGTATCAATTCGGTGCTTGACTCTCCAGGTATATGACGGAAGTCTTTTGAACCACTTCTGAACAACCAAGAGACAGTTGGTCGTGGGTATCCATCTAAAATACTGAAAACATTATGGGTATAATTATAAAGTATAATTTTTATTAGAAGCGAACCATATTCAAGTACAATAAGTTATTTTATGTAATTGCATAGATACCGAACAATAATTGCCAACATTTGAATGGTAGGGAGGGTATAGAAGGAATTTGTAAAATACTGTTACAAATAGATTCACTTACTTGCACTTGATGCGTAGTTCTGGAATATTTTCAGGTACTACTATAAGATCTTTATCCACATTTATTGCAGGTGCTGAAAAAAATATTATATTTCCCGCTTTAAAGTGCGTAATATTGAAAAAAAAAAATTGTTAAATTTTTTACGGATCTAAAACCGAGCATATTTATTATTTTTCTAACATAACTAACATTTCGGTCTCTACAAATCCTGTGGTCACGGCTAACTATGTAACCAGTGAAGGACCTGAACTATTGATTTGTTAAATATATATATTATTATTATAGAACAAATAAATTATTTTCAAAAATCTAAGAACACGACTGAAGAAAGTGATAATGTATTTATATTAAAACGTTAACAAGAACTACAGAATCTTAATTCAATAACAATAAGTAACAAACATTCAAGGACAACTATAAATATAATTACCGGCTTTCTGAATATGAACTTTTCTTGATAATACGTGTTTAGTACTGTCGTCTCCAATTATAAATGCTTCACAAACATATTTTCCTTCAGTGTTTTCACTCATATTTTTAATTGTTAGCTCAGTTTCATCTTTTGATATTGAGAACTTCGGTGAATTTTCAATAAGTTCTAACTTGTTACTTCGGGTTGCTCTAAACCAATTTATTTGCATGTTAAAATTTGACTTAATGTTGCAGTGAATTGTACCTGATTTTCCGTAATGTATGTGCTTGGTTTCTGAAAAGAGAAACATAAGTTTTTAAATAAACCGTTCCGTAAATACTGGAATTTCGTTTATTGGAGACTGCTCCACTTACGATCCAAAGGTTCGTCGTGTACAATAAAAGGAGATTTGACTATAACATTAGAATCTTGAGAAGTCGTTCCAAACTTATTCTCCACTGTGCACCTCACTCGTTGTGATTTCTTCACATTAGATAGTGTCACCCGGCTTCCGTAATCATATGGAGGATTTGCCCATTCTTTCTGGAATAACCGTCATTAAATAATTAGATGCAAACTTGTAATTATTAATTCGTACCCTTGATATATATAATAAAGCCACATGTAATCATACAAATAAAATAAAATACGAAGTGCATGAAACAAAATGATGTATATATGTGAAATTTTGCAACTCAACTATTTAAGACGAGTTTAATTAAGGAATTTAGTTAAGGATTTATTTAAGGAGGAGAAGCGGAAAACTGTTTTGCTATATCAAATAGTTTAGGTATTTACTATTAAATAACGGTCTTACTAAAGGGCTAACATATACGACGCACCTAAAGATATTGCCTAAAGAATGTGTTACACGATAGGATTTACTTTACGCGTTCATATAAAATCCTGAAGACAGGCTAAAATAAAAGTCTAAAACTAATTATTTAAGAATAAAATATCTAAGTCATGAAGTTGGCACATAATTTTTGTGTGGAGATATTTCTCCTTAAGTACTAAAGAGAATCAGCAAAATTTTGGCTTGCAACTGAAGCCCTGTAGTTTTATCCCAAAATTTGAAAATTGCCCAGCGCTTTAACGACACGCCGTGGCGCCCTCGCTGCCCCGACAGTCGCCATCGGGCGCTTGTAGATGTCGGATCTGTGATTTTATTCATATTAATTTTTGGGCGGCCCCCCATTCCTCACTTCCTAAAATGTAGACTCGCGTTAAGATATCTCGAATAAGCATAAAAAAATTCTACTTCTTTTGATCTTTTTTTTACCTCTCTCCTGAAAAGCTGTTATTTTGCAGATGTGGCTTTATTATACCAATGGTTCGAGTTTCATTTATGTTGGTCAAAGTCAAAACTGTCAATGTGCCTTTTCTACATGAACTGAGAGTTTTGAAGTGATTTTAATATAGCTTACCGTTATCATAGGCGTGTGTGATTCCGTAAACCATTTTATAGTAGGTTTTGGGTGCGCTTTGACGTTGCAAACTATGACAACCTCACTGTTGTAATCAATGGACACCGTTGTTTTGTCTAATGTTATTCTTGGTTCTGTAATTACAAAATTATAAAGTGAAACTAACTATTCATTAAAAGATTTGTGGAGCTCCATGTTTTCGGAGGAAATTACATCATAAATAATTTTTAGGACTTTACTATCATTCCCTTAAAAGCCGTGGTGGCCTAACGGTTTCACCTTTTTTTTACCGCCTCTCAAGCAGAGGCCGTAGTTTCAAATTCGATTCGCACCTACCATGAGCTTTTCGGTAAAGGAGAACATCGTGATGACACCTGCACGTCGAAGAAGTTTCACAACTCTCGGAAAACATGTGAAGTCCCCAAGCCATATTCGGCCAGCGTTGCGGACCATGGCCTAAACTTTTGCCTGAGAGGAGACCCGTGTCCAGCAGTCGACCCTGTTAAGGTCTATCCACACATATCCGGGCCGTGGCCGGGACGTGGATGGACCGTGCTCTGTCAGGGGCTCAAAAACATATCGTTGTGTATATTTTGTATGAAATCGTTCACACATGTCCGTGTCCGGGCCGGGCCGGGACGGGCTCGCAGTTCATACAAACTAACACGCCCCGTCCACGTCCCGGGCACGGCCCGGATGTGTGGATAGTCCTTTAATAGGTTGATGATTACTACCTTCCCTTCCTTTTGCAGTCTCTTTCAAGATTCAAAATTTTAGTAGGTTCTTAGCAATAGATAAATATAATAATGTATGTACTTACTAATATCTTGTTTCCTTACAACAACTGGAGTTTTACTTTTTCTTCGAATCGGCCGATGTGTTTTAATACCTACGCCTGTGACCTAAAAATTCATAATTTTATTATACTACCTCAGAATTCAATTTCTTTCCGTGCGAATGAATGCGGTTCATTTTGCTTTGGTCGAGCGGTAGGGCCACTGGCTTTATTTCAGAATCATTGGCATATGTAAAGTACCTATTGAATACAGCGGTATCCTTGTAAAATTTCGAGGTGAATTTGTGTTTTTTGTCTATCGTGAAAATTTGATGTACTAGTAGTAGTAGTTTTAACCACATATCGTATACGACATGTGATTAAAATGTTTCTAATGCCGGGATTCTCAATGTCCTTAAAACTTATTTGTATATTATTGAAAGTCCTTGTAACTGTCGAAAGAGCTTCAAGTGTGATGTATTCACCATCACGCACCAGAAAGGAAATGATTTTCTATTAAAGCGATACACAGAAAATAAGAGTATATTGAAGTATTGTACAACTTACCACAATATCGAGCAAATCAGTACGACTAGGTATTTTAAATTGATCTGTTGTATAGAAATCAACTGTAACCTTCTTTAAAGGTAACATTTTGAGATCTCGTCCATCCATAGATCGTAATATCACATTGTTTATTTTAACCGAATGTAGCGGGTCCGTTACGGATATAAGCAGATAATACGTTGAATCTGAAGAGTAATTTTTTAAACTTACATTAATTCCTCAACGTGGAATAAGTCTCACAAGTATTTAGCAATGAGTAGAATAATTATTGCAGGTTTACCATCGATGGGTTGTTTGTCTGAGGAACTGAGTGACGATGCTGGCACCGTAGAGAAGCCGTGCTCGAATGTGAAATCAGTGCGACCGAACACCATGACCGATGTGGATGAACTGCCAAACACTTTTGCGGTGTAGTTGCCTGGTTCCGGATAATTTAGTTTCATCATCTATTAAAAAAAGAAGCTATTTATTACTGGACATTGCATAGATGTCAATGTATCTTATTAAAACAGCCACTTTATCATAGAAGCGCAGGTGGAATATGCGCAGTATTTGGTACCTAACATTGCTTACCTTAGTATTCTTGACCCATGTCAAATGTTCATAATGTTTAATAGGTCCTGTTACGTCCAATTTGACATCTTTTCCTGATGCGGACACCACCACGTATTCCGTTTGCTCATCGACAGTAAACTGCAATTATAGGATTTTTCTAAAGTCCGATAGTGATTTCGGTCTTCTCTGCTCCCGGCCAAATGGTAAATTTTTACGTATTACACGTAAACCACAGGCACAAAAGGTTAATGTCAAGATGAAGTAGATGTGTTCATTTCAGCGGCTATGCAACCAATCGCAAATCTATCGTCGGCAATATCACGGTAAATATTTTTAATCGAATCAGTCTTCTTTAAATCACTTTTCATTTTTCCTAAGTTTCGAGAAGGTATCTACTAATATATTTTCGTCTTTCTCTTTTAGTATTGTACAAAAACTTTACAAGATATTATTTCATATATAAATTCGGACTTACTGGTATATCAACATGCGTGTATGCAGGAATTACTTGGGCAACAATTACTGTTCTTTCGCCAGCTATAACAGTGTCCACGTATTTGAACAACTGAAAAACGCATAAGTCTGTTTATTACATCATATTTTGTTTTCCTTTTTCATTATCATTATCACACGTCCCATAGCTGACCACGAGTCTCTTTTAAGAACAGAACCATAGCGGGTTGGAGACTTCATGCATGTATCGTTTTCAATATGCGATTTCATCACGATGTTTTCCTTGGCATTTGTTACTACAGCTTCACAAATATACGTAACTTAGAAGTTAAAATCATAATACATGCCGCCATAAGGATTTAAACAGTTGACATCTGAATTGTCAATCATCGAATCGCCATCTCATATTATATGAGCATGTTAAGCTCATAAGCTTAACATGCTCGTACCTATGGGATCAGTGTATTAAAGGTGCAAAGGTTCAGTAAACCACCAATAAGAAACCAATCTGAAAAAAAAACTTAAAATATGACTTTAGCAGTTGATCGTTATGGGTGACTTTTTCGTTCAGTATGTAGATTTAAAAAATACCTTAACAAAATCCAGAGAACAAGCCAATTATAGTAACTTCTTCAATATTTTGTTAGAAGAAGTAATGGCCACTGAAATTTTAAATTGTGGTTCGAAATTTAAAATGAAGCAAAAAAGTAAAAGCATTTAGAAATTAGGATGGAAAATGTGGGGAAAACCTTACATTGGTATAGCGCACAGGTTTTTTTGAGAGTTTATGATTACTGTATGTTTGTTTTTCTTGTGGTAAATAATTGAAAACACACATAAAAACGTTGCTTTCGTTAATTTTTGTGATTTTAAGCGTCATATCATATCATAATTTATCTCGGGAAGAGATGCTTAGGACTGTTATAGGTATGTTGGAATCTGGGCGCAATCAGTGTGATATTGCATTGCATCCACTGTAAGCTCGTAACCAAGCGTAAGTTGTCGGTTATGGGCACGCTAGAGGAAAGAAGATGAGCTTTTTTTCACATTTTTCAGAGTATGGTGTCTTATTCCAAGGTGACAATTGACAACTTCATTGTATAATATGCCACGCCGACGTGGAACCTTCGCTAAGGCCTTGGGAGATCCAACTGACTATTAAAAAACTTATTTAATAGCTTTTTAACATTTTTTTTTTATTTTGTTACAAAATTTAAATATTAAGTTTTGATTGTTTTCCTTAATAACCATTTTATTATTTTATCATTAAAATGAATACTACATAACGCTTCTTTCGACGTACAAAATGTAAGGGTACAGTTTGTTAACTTTGAAAAAAATATCATAATAACCTTGTTCCCTGGACTTTGTTAAGCAGAGTATAATACGTACATCTTGGATTTCAGTTGTACTTTTTAGATGAAATATTTGCCCATTTGTTTGAGCTGCAATTTTGTGGTACACGTAGTTGTCGGTGATCTGAGTGTTGCAATGCGAAGGTGTTATTATGAAGTTCACCTAAAACACCATTACAATCTTTATTACAATACTTATTTATACCTGAATTACCACTAACAGATTTATGACACCCGTGCCCTAGCATTCTAGCGTAGGTATTCGTTGCAATGCCCTTTCCTAGCGAAAGCACTTGGATATTCGTTTTAATTTATTTATCTTATAATCAAATGAGAATTCATAATACGGTCTGTTGCAAACACTCCGTGCTAGCGAAAGGTCACGTTGACGCAAAACCACCATAGCAGTTGTCTAACGGCAACACAGAAAATCAACTTAGTACATCATCAGTCTGTGAGAGACCAGAATTAACAGACGCATTAATACCAGCGACTAACGCCAACTATCGAAGGAACAACCCAAGGTCAGTGCGTTATCTACTCCATTCTGACTCCACCATAGCTTGGCTTTAACCAACCAAAGCACAGCGTAGTTGCAACAGTACACTTGACTCCCTTTTTCCGTCGTAGTACTTAATCATTCTATTCTACGATCCTGACAAACATCTTTCACTTCATCAATCCTTTCATACGTGCTCGTAGATCAAGGGTGTTATTGACTTCGCCCTTCCTTAGGGCGTCCTTAATTTGGTCGTGTTAATTCACTTCGTTTAAACCTTATACATATAACATGAGTCTTGATTGCACACAATTATGATTCAAAGTGTTATTCCATAGCATTTAAGTTTATTTGAAAAGAGCAATCCCTAGAGTTTCTTGCTCGTTCTTCTCAGGGAGGTAAACGAGCAGTAGCTTCAAAATGACGTTTTTAAGTGTAAAAATTTTATGGAATATATTATTATTTGACTTCGACTTTGACTTTGAGTTATAATGTATGTGTTAGTACCTGAGTTTGCAACTCCTGAGCAGTATTTATGACAGATTTCCATTTGTGTTCATCACAAGCTGCAGCGTCGGTAAATAGGAACACAAAGGAATTGTTAAGACCGTTCAATAGTCCAAGCTCCAAACCCGATAAAGAGTACTCGGGACACCATCTGTTGTTGACATTGTGAACGTGGATCGCATTGAGAGCTTTCTCTAGCTCTTGTTTATCTCTGGTTTTTACTCTCAACTCAAATGCTGAAAAAGATGAATAGAATACACATATTTTTTTATTTCACTTGACATGATCAATTCATAAATCAATATGTATTAAATACTTTATACATTCAGTCGTTGTGTTAACACAGTGATCCATATTAATAAAAATTGAAGTAAATTATTTGGCTCCGTGAACCTAGAGAATGGTTAAATCGTGAAGAACAGTACTCTCTAACCGTTGTTATTATTACTATTTCCTTAATGGCGGCCACTAGGCTTGGGCCAGTGTCAGCTTAATTATAATTTTAATTGGTAGAATGCCCTAATCAGATAATAATTGAAGCACTTTAAGCACGGCCAGTATTTATTTGTTGTTGGTAAATTAGTACATAATATACATACCAACACTAACCACTAAATTAAATATGATACGATTTTTATGATCGACATTTTAAAGGAAATGTGTCTTTAGATTTGAAATAACTTTTTTGAACTTATATCAATAGTGATTACTTTGCTTGACAGATGTAATTCGTAAGAAAGATTATGCTGTAGTATGTTTCATAAAAAAGCTTTTATTAAAAAAACCTAAACTAGAATTTCTGTAAATCTCTAGTAATGAACACGAATCCGCGAAATCCACGAATTATCTAACCAGCAAGTAATCGACACTCACCAATAATAAACGTAGGAAATTAAACTATTTTTCCGGATTTAAATCGAGTATTTCTCGTTTTTCAAACAAACCAACGTTTCGGGCCTGTTACAGGCCCCATGGTCACGGCTGACTTTGTTTGATAAAATTTAAAAGGGACCAATACTGAGGTATCCTCTGTCCAACAAAAAAGAATCATCAAAATCGGTTCATAAAAGTTATAGCGTAACATACATATATAAAAAAAATTCTATCGACATGAGAACCTCCTCCTTTTTATTTGGAGGTTAAAAATTAGTAAAAATAAATTCAAATAAAAATAAAAAATAAAATAAAAAGGTTTATTTGAAAAATCAAATACACGCGATTTAGATTCGCAAAAATAGTTTAATTTCCTACGTGAAAAAATCGCGAAAACCTAAGAACTCGATAATAACAAATGTGTTACAATAATAGAAAATTTTCCTCTAAATAAACTAAAAAATCAGTTGTGCTTGTCGGTCACTGGCGCCACAGCCTTTTATTTGTTTTTTCAAAACAAAGTATACTTTTAGACTCTTTACAAGTTCCATAGCCACGACTGTAAAAAGCCCAAAAACGTTGGTCTATATGCAAAAATATTATTTAGATTCCAAAAAATGTTTAAAATGTGTCGCAATCGCGTAAACCTAACAACTCGTTACTAGCCTGTAAACCATCTCTAAACCTATTTGCTTATTTCGACTTCAATTTCTATCATCAAGTGCCAACACACCCTTGCGGGTTCAATGTTAGCTAACAAAACGAAAGCAATAATAACTAAAACTACTTACTTGGATCGTTGAACGTCACTAGAACAATGTCTTCTATGGGCGTGGTAGGCTTACTGAACACGATGTCCATAATTTTCAATGAGGCTGTTTTCACTTCTCTTATAGTAGGTCCCATTGATAAAGTATCATCGATGACGAATGTTAGACTTCCGCGATTGACGCAAGTGGCTAAAGCCACTAGCGCCAGTATGCAAACGACACGGAGTATCATCTTTGATTCTACATAGGAGACTGACCGCTATACCCAACCGCTATCCTTTTATACTTGCGGTTTATTTTCCTCCCAATAACTATGTTTAAAGTGTGTTTACGTTACTTCTATTTTTCTCGTTGCAAACGCATCTCCGACAGTAATTTTTTTTTCTAAAATCCAACTAACTCTTAAAAGTAGCAATGGGTTGTTGTACTCTTAGAATTATTCCACCTTAGGGAGAAATAAAGGCAGAAGCAACAAATTCTAAATTCGTATAGTCTGTCTTTTTTTTAAGGCGGATTAAAATGACAGTTCAATGTACAAAAATGTTGGCCGCTTGAGAGCAGCTAGTGATTGCAGTCGATTAATATTCTATCGACTATCGACTGAATATTGGTCACGCTTAAGGACTTAGTACTTTGAATTAGTCGAACTTGTTTCATTTTAATCATCCTCGGCCGATTATTTATCCAATAACTGAGCACAAGTTAATTTGAATTGTCAATTTTCGTAAGTATGTACATACATACACTGTATTTAAACTGCCTCTGTGGCCAAACGGTTACTATTGACTGCCACGCGGATGTCCCAGGTTCAATTCCCGGGCCGGCGGGAAATATTCGTATGGCGTATATACATTAATTTCTCTCGTGAGTTTGGGTATAACACCCAAACTCACTCACTCGTGATTGTCTATGTGTGTCTCCATAGCACCCACGACACAGGATCTCCCTAGTGCGGGGCTATGTTGAGTGTGTGCGTTATTATTATTATTTAGAGCTACATTTATGAAAAATGCTAAGAGGAGCTAGAGAAGATATTTTAAAGTTTTTCATTCTAATTCAATATGGATGAAAATGTATATGAATAAAAATTGATCTCGATACTAGTAGGCTGACTGTTAAAACAAGAATGAAGAAGGCAATAATGAAATTATTAATCAATACAACGTCGTAACATTTTTGCTATTAAGTAATTTTTGGCAGAACTTTATCTTCTTTCACACTCTATCGAAAAAACTATCGACAACAACTACATGACTATTTAAAATTTAATGTCTTCAAAAAGACAAACTACAGATAAATGTGTTTAAATAGTTTTTAGGTTCATCTGATAAATAAAATAGTTAAATGTACATTTCATATTACGTAGTTTATTTATGTTATAAATACATACCGCATGTTTTATATAGAAACTTTCCTTGTTTTTAATCTGCCTTTTTAAAAATACCTTAATTTTCTCTTTAGACTTAGTAAAAAATTATAACTGCATATAAAGGGTATATATAACTAATTTTAATGTGACTTAATATGACTCATGAATAGAACTAGAGCGCACATTTGTATTAAGTTGTGCCTTTTTTGTGTTGTTATATTGTAATTGAATTACATCATTCTGTACATTACTAAGTAAAATCCTTTGATATTAGTGTTTTTAACATATTAAACGTCAAATATTACTTTTTATAGTATAAAATCTGATTATTGAAGTCAGTATGTCCTTTGAGCTTACTGTATATTCAACAATTATTGAGATATATTTCTACAAAAAAATCGATTGGCATTTATTTCGTGATCTCGAATATAACTCAAATTTGTTAAAAATGTTAGTTGTACCCTTTTTCGTTCCAAGGGCAGAATTTATATTCAATATATCAATATAGATTGATTTAAGAAATTTTATTGTTAATAATAAGAATTTAGCAATTCACTAAATGAGAACTTGTTGTTTGGTAAAAAGATTTTATAAGTTTCGTGGTCATTCGTTCTCTAAATGACACTTACGGAGAGATTTGAGAAGTCTACGAACAAATTAGTAGATAACTTTTTTATACTTAAACAGGAGACAATATATACGTCACTTGTTTCACGTAGTTCGTATAATTTTTACGACTTGCATGTGACAAATGCACTGTTGACATACAGTCACATATGGCTTTATTATACCAAAGGAACAAGTTACTGGCTTCTTACCATGGTATGACTTCTTTTTATTTTCCCGATATTTCTGAACAGTTATTCGCTCCATGGTCATATAACAACTTTAAGAACAAACGTAGGAATACATAATATCTATCTATCCTGTTTCGCTGTCGCACCTTTATCTCGATTTCTTACGACATTACGATAAACCACACTGTATTGGTAGGTCAATGCACTGGATAGATTAAAACCCGTCTTCACGATTAAGTGGTCGGCACGTGATTTAAATACTGCCCTCATCATAAATAACGCATTTGCATTTTAGGACCTTTCGAGATATTGGCACTTAATTTTTTTTATTTGAAAAATGTCAATTACGCTGACCTTGACAATAAAACTGAAATTAAATAAGATATAAATAACACCGCTTATAGGGGTTGTCAACGATATCTATATACTAGCTTACTAGATTTAGTAGCAGTAGAGCTCCATATGAAAGAGTTCGGCCAAGGGAGTACTGCCAGCTTACCTATTTCTGCCGCCAAGCAGTAATGTCAGCATTACTGTTTTCTGGTTTTGAAGGGCCCTTACCCTTCAAAACCAGAAAACAGTAATGCTGCTGGTGAAATTACTGGCACATTGAGCTTGTCAACTTATGTCTCAGGATGACGGGCGCAGTGGTAGTGCCCCTAAGATTTTTATGGACAGGCGTGTAGCTTACTTGATGTTATAAAAAAAATTAAAAATACGGCAACACAGCGTGTGTATGGACACGCTGTGTTAACTGATGTGCGGTGAAGACGCTGCACATCATTTAGTTGGTTGTCACGCATTCAAGATGGCGGACGCAGATGCAGTCCTCAATGAAAATTAATTTACATCAGTAAGTTGCTCACATTTTGCTATTTGACTAATTATGTGACCATCAATTTAAAGTTTTAAATTATTCACATTGATTCGGGAAGTATATTGTGGTTTTTTATTCATTTGTGCATAATAGTTGATGCATCTCCATTGCAAGCATGTTATGACGCGTGGTAAAACAAGACAAAACATAAACCATAAATTAATAAGCAACAGAGTGTTCTGACTACACAGTAACGATTGTATAATACGTCCATGACAGTAACAGAGTATGTATAATATGATTATAACAGTTATTAAGGTTGTAACGGAACGTTACAACGATGTGAAATTATTATTGTTATAAATCTTTTTTAAATTTAAAAGTAATAAAAATTGAACACAAATATTTCTTCAACAAACAAACAGTTGTGAAAGTGAAAGTTCCCGCTTTAGGGTAAGTTGAATGACACACAAAACACTTGTAATGTTTTTATTTGTTAATTTTCTTGTTTTGTATTGTACCAAATTGTACTATGTAGTTATTGCAGCTCTTTCTACGTTTATATATATATGTACAACGTAAATTTGAACCATAATACCATACGGTTTGAGAAATTTTGAAGATTACATCATCAAAATTACAAAAATTAAGGAACAAATTTAATTGTACAAACAAGTTTAATTTTTTCACCAGACGTTGTTTTCTTTGGCTTATTTAGTTTTTATTCTTTTCTAACAATAAGCAAACATCTCGGCCTTCAGCCTTACTACCTAAATTCTTTATTTTATCTATTTTTTCACAATTTAAACTGCAACTCCGTTCTGGTCGTGCCACCGGCAATTGCTATTACGTAGGTGCTCCTCTAATTCTCTTTTGCCGTCACTGAACTTTCAGAACGGAGGCAAAAGGACTATTAGTACCAGTTGGTTGTCCGTTACAGGAATTACCTTCGGAGTGAATTACCTTCGGAGTGAATTACCCTCGGAGTGAATCACCTGCGGAGTGAATCACCTTCAAATTGAATTACCTTCAGGGTGGCAGTTGCTACCTTGCTGAGCTTCCTCCGGGCTCATAGATTGACTACGTCCGGACTAGGACGAAACAACATCCGCTGAACGGCTACCAATTTCTGCTCGTCCTACGGCCCTTCTTCTACGCCGCAAATATACAGGGGAGTACCATACTCGGAAGCGGAAAACCTAAAGTCTTTCGGCACGATACCACGACCCGTGATAAATACATGTACCGTTTTTTTTTATTATAATTATTTTAAATTACCGTAATTCTTTGTTTGATTTTCTAACCTCATAGGGAAAATAAAACTAGGGAATCGAACCCGGTACAAGGTTACCATATTGTATATATCTTGGTTGCATATTCTAAAGATCGTTGCCTTTCCGCAGGGTAAAATACATAACATAACATAAATATTTTCAACATCATCATCAACATGGTCAGCCAAAATCAACGCACCGCTAGGCCTCTTCTTTATTTCGCCAATATTTTCGATCCTGCGCCATTCGCATCCAGCGCGTTCCCGCAAAACTGACGATATCGTCAGATTATCGGGCTGGGCAGACCCCACTGGCCTTTTTACTCCTCTTGGCCACCATTTCGTGACTGCTTTGGTCAATCGTCCATCTTCTAGTCTAGCCAAATGTGTGCGGGAACCTCCACTTTAACCTCATGATGCGATTACCCACGTCATTGATTTTCGTTTTACGTCATATTTCCTTTTTACATTTGGTACACGATCCACGAGAGAAATGCCCAGCATAGAACGCTCCATCGCTCTTTGTGCCACTTTAATTTTGTGCATGTTTTGCATAGTGAGCGTATATGCTTCCGCATTATAGGTGAGGATTGGTAAGGGTAAAACACATTGATTGTAGACCTTGGTCTTCAGGCACTCTAGGAGTTTCGACTTTGACGTCCTCTAGCTTACCAAAAGCTGCTCACCCTAAACCAATACGCCTTTCGGTCTCTTTAACCTGAGCTTCTTGATCAAAGGATAAACGATGTCCAAGATGTATGTAATCGCTGACAACCTGTACAGTGCCATTGCCTACAATTATGTTAGGTACGTTTTTAGGGTGATTAGTCATTTTCGTCTTGGATATGTTCATTCTCAGTCCATAGATTTAGAAAAAAAGGGGAGGGGAGGGGGTCGCCTCGATACGATCATTTTGATCATATCGAGGCGACACGAACTACGCCCCCATACCAAATCTCCCTTTTTTTTCTATATCTATGCCTCAGTCCGATCTTCAG